CAGTTGAGGCCATGCGAGGTCGCGCATACTTGGGCGCCCCAAAGTTCAAATGGGCCCCTGCCCACCGCAATGCGAGCGACGCCGTGGGAGGTGACCATGCGGACTTGGACTGGCCAGGCAACGGTTGGGCTGGCTGCGTTGCGAAGCTCGGCCCCGCCAGCCACGGGTTGGCCCCTAGTGTTTTTCGTTTGGGGGGGGGCCCAGCAGTCGCTTCGCGAACGTCAGCAGGTGCTTCGACATGTAGCGCGGGCGCGTTTGCGCGCCATCACGGGGTGGGGGGCAGAAGCCGCGCAATTGACCCCGCGGGGGTTGTCATTCAGCGCGTCGCCGACCGCGCGCACTGCTGCCCCCGTCGCGCGGGAGGGATTCTGGCGAGCGCCGGTGCAAGCGGTGCCGCGCCTAGGTTCAGAGTGGATGTTCACGCGCTGGCGCGCCCGACCGCGCGGCGCACCGGTGCTTCGGCCGCGCGCCCTTGCAATTGGGAGAGGTCACGGACAGCAGGGCCACGATTGCCTTGGACGTCGCCGCGGATTTTACTGGCGCCAGCGCTGGCGACGCCGACTAGCAGCAGGGGGCGCGCGGTGACGTGAGCTTCGAGCGTTGTGCGCAATTAGGGCATTGCGCGTTTCAGGCCGGCAGTTTTCTCTGCCGCAGTCGGCGCGGCAGCCGCTGCAGCGCGCAAGCCGCCCGCCCTGCCCGCAAATCGTGCGGCGCAAATGTTTGGGGCTGCCGCGAACGATTCCGACGCGCCGAAACCAGCCGTCTACCATCGACATGTTTGGCAGAGGCCTGGCGGGCCACAGAGGGGGCGGGGCCCGACGCCCGTCGCGCCCGAATCGGCCTGCCGGGCTCAGTGGCGGCCTCCGCCGCCCGAGCGGGAGCAGGCGTTGCGCGCCTGCCCCTGCCGCGGCGGCCCTTGCCGCCTGCGCTGAGACTCGCTGGCCGTCTGTCCCGCCAGACGACCGCTCGAAGGATGCGCCATAGGAAACATCTGGGGCGCAATGCTCTGGCGCGAGGAGGTGTACCCCGAGACGCGCGGTCGCGTGAGCTTTGACGTATGTGCGCGCCTGGGGCATGACGTGCTCGAGTCTGGTGATTCTCTCAGATGCAGGCTGCGCGGCGGCCGCTGCAATGTGCCAGCCGTTCGCGCTGCCCGCAAGCTGCGGCGTAAATGTTTGCGGCTGTCGCGCGCGACCCCAGCGATCCGAAACCAGCTCTCTGCCATCCACATGATTGGCAAATGGCTGGTTCCCCGACAGAGGGTTTCGGCCTGACGCCCGTCGCGCCCGAATCGGCCTGCCGCGCTCGATGGCGGCTTCCGCCGCCCGAGCGGGAGCAGATGCCGCGCACCTGCCCCTCGTGGGGATGACCATTCGGTTTCTTCGTCTCCGCGCTATCGCGAGGCAGCCGCTCCGTATAGGCGGGTCTGCACACCGCCTGGCGGCGTGTTGCACCGAGTCCGCGTCTCGTTGCCTCGTGGAGTCTGGCGTCTCCACCTGAGCGCCTATGGCCTATGGCCGCTTAGTCATGGTGGCGTTGGTTTCTTTGCGGGGGTTAACGCCTGCGGTTTGGCCCCGTCGGTCGTCTGTCCCACCAGGCGACCCCTTCAGTGCCCGTCGTTCTTCCATTTCCTCCTCCTCTTCCTCCTCCTCCGCCTCCTCCTCCTCCTGTCCTCCTCCTCCTCGTCCTCCTCCTCCTCCTCCTGTCTTCCTCCTCCTGCACCTCCTGCACTTCCTCCTGCCTCTCCTCCTCCTCCTCCTCCTCCTCCTCACCTCCTCCCCTCCTCCTCCTCCTCCGTCCTCTTCCTCCTGCACCTCCTCCTGCCTCCTCCTCCTCCTCCTCCTCCTCCTCCTCCTCCTCCTCCTCCTCCTCCTCCTCCTCCTCCTCCTCATACCTCCCCTTGCGCAGAGGGCTCCGCAGGCAACAGGTCGCCGCAGAACTCTCCGTAGAGGTTCCGAGGGTGGCGTGTGCCTGCAGGCTTTGGCCCAAAAGGTCACTGCAGGTCGAGAGCCCCGGTTCTGGATCCTCTGCCCCTCTCTTCCTTCCCGTCCCAGCCCTCGTCGTCTTTCTTTCGGGGGCGGAAAAGAGGGGGGTGATGACTAGGGGGGGGGATATCATGGCGCCGGCCGTTTTTGTCTCATCAGATTTCACGGCGCCTCTTCTTGTTTCATTACGTCCCAGGCCCCCCCCGCTGGGCCGCGCACGTGTCACCCGTCATGATTTGCACCCCCCTTCTTGGACACCCCCCTCTTGGCCGCTCCCGATTCCTTCCCGTCCCATCCCTCGTCGTCTCTCTTTGGGATGCATCTCCTGGGAGGTTGAATTCGACATCGTCGTTGCTACGCCCGCAGTCGACAATCAGAACAATTCGATTCAGTCTCGTTCGATCCAGCTGAATCCCATGGTCACAGTGGTACCATGGGTCGATTGCGTTCTCATCGGGCCCGACAGCGTTGAAGTGCTCTTCGGAAAATGTCCCGATTGTTATCTCCCGACCTCCTCCCCCCGCCCCTCGCCCCTTTTTGTCCCGAGGCCTCGGTACAGTGCCGTTTTTTATACATGCTCCGCGTGCGGATCATGTATTAATTATCCCAGTGCGACCCTACCTAGAAGTTGAAGCCCCTAGGAAAGCAGCATTAGTAGCAACAGTAAAGATACGCTAAAGCTAAGCGAATGCTAAAGCTAAGCTGACGCTAAGCTAAAGCTCAGCTAAAGCTCAGCTAAAGCTAAGCTAAATATAAGCTGATGCTAAGCTAAAGCTAAGCTGAAGCTCAGCTAAAGCTAAGCTAAATCTAAGCTAAAGCTAAGCTAAAGCTAAGCTGCAGGTAAGCTAGAGCTAAGCTAAAGCTAAGCTGCAGGTAATCTAAATCTAAGCTAAAGCTCTGCTAAAGCTAAGCTAACGCTAACCTAAAGCTAAGCTGAAGCTAAGCTAAAGCTAAAGCCAAGCTAAAGCTAAGCGAATGCTAAGCTAAATATAAGCTAAAGCTAAGCTAAAACTAAGCTAACGCTAAGCTACAACTAAGCTAAAGCTAGGCTACAGCTAGGCTACAGCTAGGCTACAGCTAAGCTAAAGCTAAGCTAAAGCTAAGCTAACGCTAAGCTGAAGCTAAGCAACAGCTAAGCTGATGCTAAGCTAAAGCTAAGCTACATCTAAGCTAACGCTAAGCTAAAGCTAAGCGAAAGCTAAGCGAATGCTAAACTAAAGCTAAGCGAATGCTAAGCTAAAACTAAGCTAAAGCTAAGATGATATAAGCTATGCTAAGCTAAGCTAAGCTAAGATGAGATAAGCAACGCTAAGCTAAGGGGACGTACCTGGGGGAACTGCGGGGCGGGGACTGGGGGAACCGCCCGGGGCGATTTACACTGCCCGCCCCTTTAAGCTAAGAGAGTAAGAACCCTCTAGACAGAGCCTAGGTAGGGAAACATGCAGGGATTTTCTTTTTGAAGCAACGATGAGTTCATGCATACATTTATTCAAAAAATAACCATGATTAAAAATCAATATAACAAAAAAATGTATTAAAAACTGCCCTGTAGCCAGGTTGGGCTGTCAGGCCCGGCGTTGCCCGCGTTGGCTCGGCCATCCTGGTGTTGGGGCGGGGGCCGGCCCAGCCGCACTGCCCAAGCGCCGCCGCCCGCTGGACCAGGCAATGTGGGGGGGTCGAGGGAGCCAGAGGGGGTCTCGAGCATGAGGGCTCGGGCCTCCCTGTGGACAAGCCCTCGGGGGACGTCGAGGCCTCCAGGAGGCCTCGAGGGGCGTCCCTCCAGAGCTGGGGGGCCCGGGCGCGGGGCTGGGGGGGCGGCGGGGAGCGGGGAATGGATCAGGAGGGAACGAAACACACACAGACACAATGAGTTGCCGGTTCGCGGGAACATGTTGGAAAATATGGGGGGTGGATATGAGAATATTTTGAATCCTGTTGCTTGTGTCTACTTATTTGTGTGTCCCTGGGCCCCTTCCACGGAGAGAGGGGCCAGAAGGGACCCGGGGGAAAGGGGGGAGAGCGCGAAGAGGGGGGGAGGCCCTGACCTTCGAGCGCGCCAGACAAAAAATAGCACTCCGGCCCTCCAGACCTGTCCAGGCTGCCCGTCGACCTCGACGATTGGAATGCAGTGGTCCAGGTCCTGGTGCTATGTTTTAGCCCTCCTGGAAGGTCAGGGGGGGGGGAGGAGAGGGGGGGGGATGAAAGGGGGTGTCCAGACTGCTCGTCGACCTCGACGATTGGAATGCAGTGGTCCAGGTCCTGGTGCTCTTTCTCAGCCCTCCTGGAAGGTCAGAAGGGGGAGGAGAGGGGGGGGAGGCAAGCTAGGTGCGCGCGCGCGTCATATCTGACATCCTACCCCTCCCTCCCATCCCTTACCATGGCGCAGATCCCCTCTCTACTCGCTCAGTCGGATGTCGAGCAGGGCAATGATCCCGAAAGGGTACGCGATGCATTGTAGAGCACGGCATGGCATGGCGTAGAAGAGCACCGCAAAGCGTAGTATCAACCTAGCATTGCATTGCATGCCGTGGCATGGCACGGGAAATGACGCCAGCGCTGCAGCGGGAGCACGAGTCGAAACGAGCGGAAGCGCGGAAATGAGGCCAGCGCTGCAGCGGGAGCACGATTCGGAACGAGCGGAAGCACGGAAATGAGGCCAGCGCTGCAGCGGGAGCACGATTCGGAACGAGCGGGGCCCGAAAATGAGGCCGGCGCCTCAGCGAGAGCAGCATTTTGAAAACAAATGCAAGCGAAAACCCAATTCCGGGAATTCTGGGGAAACCTGTGTGTAAAAAACAGTACGCCGGGGGGGGTCGGCCATTTTCAAACCGTCATCCGGGGAAGAGGGAGAGTAGTATTCATATCGAGTAATTAATTGTAGAGGAGGAGGAGGGGGGGGGGAGGAGGGGGGGGAGGAGGGGGGGGAGAGGAGGGGGGAGAGGAAAGGGGGAAGTGGGGAGGAAAGGGGGGGAGGAAAGGGGGAGGCGGGGAAGCCGCGTCGCCATCTCGGCTGACAGGCCCAACGCCGCCTCCGCGGAGGCACCGCCGAGAGAGGTGGTCCGGGAGGCGCGCTGCGGCTCGGACCCCCCCCCCCCGCGGGCCTCCAACCGGGGCGGCGAGGCCTCCCTCTCGGTGCCACAGTCGGGGCATGTCTGGGGCGGCGGCGCAGGCTGTCGGGCCCACGGACTTTGAGGCGGCGACCTGGCCCGAGAGGGCCAGCTTCGAGGCCGCCTTTGTCGCCGCTGCGGCCGCCTATGCGGCGCTGCTGGCGGTGGCGAGGGAGGCCCCCCTGTGGCACGACGGCGCCGTGCCGCTGGCCGCTGCCCTGGCCTCGTGCCTGGTGCATGCGGTGACCCTGGCCGCACGCGTAAAGTGGCGTCGGAGCTTCTGGTTGCCAGTGTTCACCGTCGTTATCGATTGCGTGATCTCGGCGGTCACGCACGTGGAAGTGCAGACCGCGTTCTGGAAAGAGCTCTACAAACCCTTCGGCGTCTCCGGGCAAGACACCTTGGTGCGAGACTTCGAAGGGATGTTCGGTTGGCACAGCCTCTTCCACACCTCCCTGCTGTACGTGTCGCTGTCCTACATGACGCACTTCGTGCTGCTTGCTCGCCACGCGACGCTCGCCTTGCTTCTCGGAGTCGCGGCCTTCGGCGGCGTGCTCTTCACGGCCCGGTCGGTCCTCGAGTCCCGGGGCCAGTTCCGGGACGCGCGGAGGGAGTGCATGGAGATGTTCCTCTTTGCGTTTGGTATGGTGATCCAAGTCGCATCGAAGTTCCGCGCAGAGAGGTCGTCGCGGAAGATCTTCGAGCATCTGGCCGAGTCGAAGAGAGACGTGGTCAGACAGGTGGTGCGCTGCCAGTCCGAGCTCCAGATCGAGTCCCTGCGGCAGTCCTCCGAGGGTCCTCCCAGCATCGCCGACGGCGGGTCTCACGACCCGCGGCCGAGCCCGCGGTGCGAGAGGCCGCGCGTGCCCTCCGGGAGGCGCGGCCCCGCCTCGCTCGGCCCCTCGGTCCAGAGCGCGCCCGCGGACATGCTCCCGTCCGCCCTGCAGGTCCTCGCGGGCGTGCACGCGCTGCAGGACGCCGCGTGCCCGGGCGGCGCCCTGGACTGCTTCCAGCCCTCCGCCGCGGTGTGGGTCAGCGGGGAGGCGGAGCCCGTGCCGGTGGGCCGCCTGGTGCCCGGGCAGCGGGTGCTCTGCTTCGACTCGCTGGGGGGCTCGGTGAAGTACGCCCAGGTCTCCGAGGTGCTCGCCGACGCCGAGGCGCTGGAGTGGGTGGAGGTGGCCCTCGCGGACGGCACGACGCTCACCATGACCTCGGACCACCCCGTGCAGCCCCTGGGGCAGCACGGGCGGCACCTCCGGGAGAAGCCAGTGCCCGCGTCGAGCCTCGTGCCGCTGCGCGACTCCGTGATGGTCCACAGGGTCGCCACCCTGCCGGTGGCGGTGCACAGCGTGACGCGCAGGGAGGCCACGGCCGCGATGCGCGAGCGCGTCTCGGTGTGCGTGCACCAGCCCGACAGGTACGCCATCCTGGTGGTCACCGGCGGGGGCGCGCGCGCGAGCAGCATGGCGGTGGGCTCCGCGGACGCGCGCGGGGCGCTGCAGCACCAGAGCCAGGTGAAGAACACCTTCGTGCACGTCTGCCCCGACGGGGGCGCGGGCAGGGCGCGCGCGGCCTCCGAGCCGCGGCCGCGCGGCGGGCGCGCCTGGGCGGTGGACTGTGCCAGCTCGGCCTCGTCCCTGGTCGTGGCGTCGCAGCTGAGCGCCCTCGTGCCGTGCGGCAGGGAGGGCCTCGAGGAGGATGCGGAGCACGACGGTGCTCCGCCGAGGGCCAGCCGAGGCGTGGGCCGTGGGCCTGCGGGTGGCCCCGTCGTCGCCACTGCTGGGCGCAGCCCGGAGCACAGCGGCTCGCCTGGGCCCCGGGATGCTGGGCCGATGTTCCACCACATCCTCCTCCTCCTCCTCCTCCGCCTCCTCCGCCTCCTCCTCCTCCTCCTCGGGGAGAGGGGAGGCAGTGGCGCCCTCGAGGGCGCGAGGCTCTTCCCGCCTCGCGCTTCGCGCCTCCGCCGCGACTCCTCCGCATCCTCCTCTGCTCCCCTGGGAGGCGGCGCGAGAGCGCGAAGCGCTTCGCGCTCTCGCGCTCTCGCGCAGCGCGAAGCGCGAAGCTGGGAGCCCTGGGGAGGATGGGAGAGGTCCTCCTACTCCCCTCCTTCTCCCCCTCCTCCTTCTCCTCCCCCCCCTCCGACCTATGGTAGGTGCTGGTGGAACATCAGCCCACCACCGGGAGGGGTCTGAGGATCCATTCTGAGCTGCCGTTGTCTCAACTCGCCCTGCTCCGAGGTGCCACATGCGAGCCTGTCGTCGGCCCCGAGGGCAGCGTGGAGATCGTGTGTCACCAGAGCTTCGGTGGCCTTCCGCTTCAGCTTTTGCCACGCGGCATGGAGGGCCTCCAGGCGTATCAGGAGCGTGATGGTGCCCACAGCCAGGCTCCCGTCAGTCCCGACGGCGTGGCGGAGGTCGTGTGTCGCCAGAGCATCGGTGGCATGTCCGCTCTCTTGCGCGAGGAGTCTCAGCCGGCGGCCGCCGCGGAGGGCGAGAAGCTGCCCAGCATTGGCAGCGTCGGGCACCACGAGGGCGAGTGCCAGCCCTGCCAGCTGCACTTCAGGGGCAAGTGCCTTCGAGGCTGCAAATGCAATTTCTGCCACCTCCCCCATCTCGGCGGCGCGCCCGGGGGGGGGGGAGTGCGGGGGCAGGCCTTCTCAGAAGCCTCCAGCCGCCTGCTGAGAAGGCGCCCTTTGCCTTCGGCGAGGACCCAGATGATTGCTCAGAGGGCCATGGAGGCCTCCCGAGCCTCCCGAGGGGGTCCGCCCCCTGTGACTTCCCCCCCGGGCTCGCCGCCGACGATCGACAGATGAAGGTGCGAGGCAAGAAAATCCTGCTGCCAGCCTGAGCGCGGGCCAGCGGGCTCGGCAGGGAGCGCGGCGGACGCTCTCACGGAGTGCGCCGCCCTCCGCTGGCGCCCACGCTGCTGCCGGGGTGGCTGCCTCGGGGGGCCCGGCGTCTCGATGGGGCGAGGGGGGCCCGAAGGCTGTGGTGGCCAGCGAGCCCTCGAGGGGGATCGAGGGGAGGCCCGCGGCGGGCGCCAGGACCCAAGAGGCCTCGGGGGTGGTCTCTGGGCGCGAGCGCCTCTGCCGCCACTGCATGACCGCACCCTTCGGCCAGGCAGCAGCTGAGATGCCTCAGTGCAGCGTGTCCCCGGCTCCTCAAGTGAAGGACACCGGCGGCTCTCCGTCCGATGATTCGATGAGTAGTTAGGTTCAGTTGCATGTTGTTATGAGATGCGTTTCGCGCGTGCCCGCTCGATAACTCGGACCCTCAATGGATAACGGGGTCTCCGACCCCCTTCCTCCGTCATAAGAATATGGATGCAAAACGCTTTGTGCAAAATCCGATGTACATCACGAGTTCGAAGGCTGTTGTATAGATTGCAGAACAGTTGCACGTGCTTACTTGTTGCATGCCCGCTCGAGGATGGCGCGTCCTGCGCGAAGAAATGTCGAGGCTGTCTCTACAGTGCCGTTTTTAATACATGCTCCGCTTTCGGATCATGCATTAAGAAAACGCAGGGATTGAGTATTAAAAACAACGATGAGTTTATGCATAAATTTATTCGTAAGTCGATCATGTATTAAACGTTGTTTTTTGTTTTACAGAAGCATCCCATATATATATATATATATATGTGAAAAACTGCCCTGTAGTGAAATGCTCGTTCTGCCGACCTTGAGGGGCTTCGACGCCCCACGGTGCCCAGGCAGCTCTGGGAACGCGCGTCCGCGCGCGGACGCACCCGGGCCCCCCCCCCCGGCGCCACAGGGCGGGACGGGCGGGACCACGCGTGGGCCTCTGACGCCCCAGAGCTGGACAAGAGCGCGAAACGCGCGTCGATGCATTGGTCTGTTCTTGCTATTGTTATGTCGGGCGTGCCTCCCTACAGGGGGAGTTTCGACGAAACATAAACATACCCTCAAAATAATCAAAAATTAGCCTGGCGAAGGACCCAACCTTTTGCAGTTGTGAGTAATGCTGGTGTGAGTACCGTCTTCGGAGGAACTCCTTATGGGGCCACGAAACGTGTGAGGGGTGCACCGAAGTTGGTGCGGGGGCGGCATGCGGGCGCAGCCACTGGGGCCTTCGGTGGAGCTCCCTGTGGGGCCACGAAACGTGTGAGGGGTGTGCAGAAATTGGTGTGGGGGCGGCATGCGAACGCAGCCACTGGGGCCTCCGGTGGAGCTCCCTATGGTGCCACGAAACGTGTGAGGGGTGTGCCGAAATTGGTGTGGGGGCGCATGCGAACCCAGTCACTGGGGCCTTCAATGGAAATCCCCATGGGGCCACGAAACGTGTGAGGGATGTGCCGAAATGGGTGTTGGGGAGGCATACGAACCAGGCCACTGGGGCCTTCGGTGGAGCTCCCTATGGGGCCACGAAACGTGTGAGGGGTGTGCCGAAATGGGTGGTGGGGAGGCATGCGGAACCCTGCCACTGGGGCCTTCGGTGGAGCTCCCTATGGGGCCACGAAACGTGTGAGGGGTGTGCCGAAATGGGTGGTGGGGAGGCATGCGAACCCTGCCACTGGGGCCTTCGGTGGAGCTCCCTATGGGGCCACGAAACGTGTGAGGGGTGTGCCGAAATGGGTGGTGGGGAGGCATGCCCTGGCCACGAAACGTGTGAGGGGTGTGCCGAAATCTGCGCGGTGGGCGCATGGGAGCGCAGCCACTGGGGCCTTCGGTGGAGCTCCCTGTGGGGCCACGAAACGTGTGAGGGGTGTGCCGAAATGGCGGTGGGCGCATGGAGCGCAGCCACTGGGGCCTTCGGTGGAGCTCCCCATGGGGCCACGAAACGTGTGAGGGGTGTGCCGAAATGGGTGCGGTGGGCGCATGGGAGCGCAGCCACTGGGGCCTTCGGTGGAGCTCCCCATGGGGCCACGAAACGGTGTGGGAGCGCAGCCACTGGGGCCTTCGTGGAGCGCGAACGAAACGTCCGAAATCTGTGCGGTGGGCGCATGGGAGCGCAGCCACGGGGGCCTTCGGTGGAGCTCCCTATGGGGCCACGAAACGTGTGAGGGGTGTGCCGAAATCTGTGCGGTGGGCGCATGGGAGCGCAGCCACTGGGGCCTTCGCTGGAGCTCCCTATGGGGCCACGAAACGTGTGAGGGGTGTGATAAATGGGCGCGGTGGGCGCATGGGAGCGCAGCCGCTGGGGCCTTCGGTGAAGCTCCCTATGGGGCCACGCAACGTGTGAGGGGTGTGCCGAAATCTGCGCGGTGGGCGCATGGGAGCGCAGCCACTGGGGCCTTCGCTGGAGCTCCCTATGGTGCCACGAAACGTATGATGGGTGTGCCGAAATGGGTGCGGTGGGCGCATGCGAGCGCAGCCACTGGGGCCTTCGCTGGAGCTCCCTATGGGGCCACGAAGCGTGTGAGGGGTGTGCCGAAATGGGTGCGGTGGGCGCATGGGAGCGCAGCCACTGGGGCCTTCGGTGGAGCTCCCTATGGGGCCACGAAACGTGTGAGGGGTGTGCCGAAGTGGCTGCTTTTGCTGATGATGATGGTGATGATGATGATGGTGATGATGATGATGATGACGATGAGGATGATAAGAAGGGAGAGGAGGCGGAGGAGGAGAGGAGAGGAGACGCGGGGCACCGTCTCTTCAAAACGAGGACCCAACACCACAGGACGGTTGGGAAATAATCAGAGAATAGTCTGGGAACTGTTTTTTTAGTTTTTGGGCCTTGTTGGGGAAGGGGGGAGGCGAGAAGGAGGACGCTCTCTCAGAGGAGGGTGCGGCTTCTCAGAAGCCCTCCGGCCGTCTGAGAAGTTGTTCTGCGTCATCGGCGAAGGTTTAGACCCTTCTTTCAAGGAAGTCTGGAGGACTTCCGAGCCTTTTCAGAAGGCCCGCCCCGTCTCACTTCCCCTGGGCTCGCCGCCGATTGCGTTTCATGCGCATGTTATTTGGCCCTTGGCAGCCTGCAGATTCAGCCTGGGAGGTAGCTGACGCGCAACCAATCCCAGGAGGGAAGCCGAGGGCGAGGTTGGGGGAGTACTCCAGATTTCGTAATAAAGGGAGGGGGGTCTCATTTCGGGGGGGGTCTCTTCCAGGCTATCTTGGAGGGCCTGGGGGGGTCTGGGGACGATGTTTTGGAGGGTTCTCCCACGGGGGAGGTCTGAAATGGCTTGTCTTGGAGGGTCCAGACCCCCTCCCTTTTATTACGAAATCTGGAGTAGGAAGCAGGAGGGACGGGAGGGCGATCAGAGCCCAGGGAGCCGCGGCCGGGCCAACCTTCTTTCGCAGCGTCGGCTCCTCACGCTGCATCATTCTGGCGGCCGCTCTCGCCCGGCGCCTCCCTTCCTTTTCAAGGCAAGCGCCAGATTCGAGGATCTGAGCGTACAGCTCGTGGTATGATCATACTGCTATTTTTTTGGTTTTGTAGTGCAGCCTCAATGAGTTCATTTCGAGGCGAGTTTGATGTGGTCCCCACGACGGGCGTGACCAGACATGTGCCGTGCGCCGGTTTGCCGCGAACGACCCCTCGCCTGTCCTGCGGTGCCTCCTTCCTAGAGCCTGTGGCGTTTCCCGAGGGGTATCTCGTGTACCCAGCACTACCGGAAGAGTCACACCGCCGTGGGCGCCACTGTGCGGACGGGCTTCGCTATCAGCAGACTGCACCTATAGATCACCTTGCCATGCCATTGGGAACGACACTGTGCCTATACAGTTCATCGCGTGCGGGAGGAGAAAAATAGAGTCCCGGCCGGCGACCGACCTCTACTTTGAGCACGGTCTTGATACGCACTTTGTCTGAAGACGGCGGGACGGGAGGGAGAGGAGGAGGACGGTGAGGGAGGGAGCCAGATGAGGGATGATTGGGAAGTGGGGAGGGGGGAGGAGTTCCGGGAGGAGGAGGATTGGGAGTATGAAGGGGAGGAGGATGAGGAGGAGGACCAGGATTGGGAGAGGGAGAACGAGGAGGATTGGTAGGAGGAAAAAGGAGGACGACTGGGAGCAGAAGGAGGAGAAAATTGAGAAGAGGGAGAGGAGAGGAGGAGGAGCAGGAGGGTCAGGAGGACATCGAGGATCAGCACTGGCTCCTGGATACATATATTTATTCGTGTATACATCGATGTCTGTAGATATGTTCCACAAGCACTTAGGGGTGTTTATTTCTGGAATATTTCTGGAATAAGGAGCTGGGCCTGTGCGACGGTCTGGCGGATATGTTGTTGCCGTCGCCTCGTCGCTGCATCGTCGCGGCCCATCGTCTGGGCCTTTTGCGTCGGTCTGGCGGCTATGTTGTCGCCGTTGCCGCCCCGTCGCCGCTCGTCGCCGCCGACAGATTGCACCACATTAATTTCTTTCAATTGATCAGCGTCCATTGTTTCATCAACATCTGTATTATTCACATATTGTGGCACACATTTATATATATAATCAGTTCTAAAGCACTCCTTCATCGCCGCCCACTTCCCTTGCAGAAAGAATTATGCGCGCGCATCCGTTGACCAAGCATCCTCAGTATCCATGTGTACCTTGCAAAACATGGAACGACATGCACACGCGCGCGTCGTCGCACGGGCATGCCGAAATCCTTCAATCACCTGAGTATTCAATATTCAAAAATCGGTTGTCCCGAAAGCATTCAGGGGCCACTGGGTTCGCAACACAAATATCACAAACCATGCGCTCGTGCTCTTACGAGTTCTTGAGGAACCCATCGGTTTTCAACATGTTCTCCCAATGCTGCCAACCGTGTCTCTCGCGCGCGCATGTCAAAATCAATCGTTCGAGTGCTCCTGCGGGCGTGCTGTCGCAATAACCCCTTGCAAACCATATGACGAACTGCACACGCGCGCGCCGTCGCGCACGCATGCCAGAATCCATCAAACACCTTAGGTTTCGCAGGTATTGCAAAATCGAGTGTCCCGAACACATATTAAACGACATGGTGTTGCCACACCCGTTTGCATTCTCACGGCGCGCTCTTGCGAATTCTTTCAATCATCATCGTTCCATCAGCATGGCCATTCATTTCGACCAAGCCGGCATCTCGCGCCGCATGTCGAAATCTTTCGAACGCTCCTGCGCGCGTGATACCATGCGGGCCACCCGCGCTCGTCGGCCGCGCGCGCATGTCGAAACCCTCTCATCGTGACCACTATCTTCGTCGCGTCCACCGTTGTCGACGTCGCCATGACATCGCGCGGCCCCCGCGACACTCGGGCGAAAAGCCTGCACGCCGGGGGCCTCGCTGAGCCTCGCTCTCCGCGGCGGCCCGTCGCTCGGCGCGGCGCGAGGCCGAGCTCTACCCCGTCGTCTTCGTCGTCCGACGACGACGACGACGACGACGACGATGTCACCGACTCGCACTGCAGTTCCCGCTCGGAAGTGCCCAGCGGTCAGCGCCAGTGCGGCCGCGCCGGCCGCGCCAAACCTGGGCGGCCGAGGTGCGCGCGGGCACGAAGGATTGCAAAAAAACCAGGGATTGCAAAAAAACCAAGGATTGCAAAAAAAAAAAAACCGAAGGATTGTAAAAAAACCCGAAGGATTGCAAAAAAACCCGACCGAAGGATTGCAAAAAAACCCGCAAGTGAGCGAGCGCTGCCGCGGAGGTGCACCCGTCAGCGCCGAGAACGTCTCGCCGCCGCGCGGGCACTGCAGTCAAAGTTGCGGGTGGGTGGGTCCTCCTCCTCCTCATCTTCCTCCTCCTCCCCCTCCTCCTCCTCCTCCTCCTCCTCCTCCTCCTCCCCCTCCTCCTCCTCCTGGTATGATTGCGCGAGAAAGGACCCGTCGCACGAGTCGTGCCCCTCACGCGTTTCGTGCCCCACAGGGAGCTCCACTTCGGCCCAGCGGGCGCGTTCGCACGCGAGCACCCGCCCACCCCTGCGATCAGCGCTCCAGTGAACGATGCATCGTTCCTGGACGAACTGTTCGAGTTCGTTGCCCTCGGCGCGCTGAGCGTGTGCGTGTTGTCTAAAAGGTTGGACGAGTCATGCCCAGCATCGAGGCCGATGTGGCCCCCGTGCGCGACCTGGGTCACCGCCGTCACTCTGCCCGCCGCGAGCTCTGGCGGCGATCGGGGAGCCTCGCGAGCAGCCGCGCGCGAGGCCCAATCTTCGTGAGCTCGGCAGGCCCCGCGCGTGGAGTCTCGTGCGCTGCGCCGTCGCAGCTGGCGAATCGCAGGCCCCCCCGCTTGCAGAGCTGGAGGCTGGGATTCCGGAGGGGGGCACGCTGTCGGATGGGCGTCTGCGCTCGAGCGGGCGCGCCCCCCAGGGTCCGACAACCCGGGCCCGCGCCCATACAGTCAACGCGCCTCGTAGGGACGCGCGCCCTCCTCTAGGATACCTTTGCGTCCTTGCCTCTGTGGCCCGTCATTTGCAGTTTTCACTGGTCGCCGCCGCCCGAAAAATCCCAACTTCAGCCTCCAAGGTTCTTGCGTCCTTACCACGCGTCATTAATATACGTTTCGACTGTAGTCAGTTTTGACATCGGGAGGCGTTGGTTCTCAAATCAAGAGGCGCGGGGCGGGACTCGGGGGATCCGTGGGTACGCGTTGTTGGAGGGGGGTTCCCGCTCGAACGCAGGCCCCCCCTTCGGGGTCCCGACGGTGCCGCAAAGGGGCCCTGGGAGCTGTGCGACTCTGGCCTCTGCTACTCTGGGCCTCTCGTGGGGCCCCCTCCCAGGGCCCCAACCCGGTGGCCTCCTGGTGGCCTGTCAGGGCGCCCTCGGGCCATCGGGGGGGCCGCAGGAAGGATTCGCGAGAGCCAGGCAGCGTTTCCAAGAGAGGACCAAGGGTGTCCCGAGAGGACCCCAAGGGGGTCCGTAGCCATTTTGGCTCACGCCTTTTCGCTCAATGCACTTCGACCAGAGGCGCCCGCGACACGGTCCAAGGTGGCCGAAGCATGTGGCTGCAATGCCAGAAGAACAGCTACGGATTTCAGGTTCTGGTCGCGTCCGTTGTGTATTGCAGTTCCTGATGCTAGGCAGAACTCTTTTTGTTGCGATTTGCATTTCTGCGCAAGCCACCAGTCCCAAGCACATCCTGTTCTTGATCATCGACGAGCTCGGTTGGAACGATGTCAGGAATTGCAGGTACCACGATTGATGTTCTCGCCATGGGTGGTGTCCGTCTCAACCGCTATTACATGCACTCTCTATGCACCTCAACTCGTGCGAGCGTTTTGAGAGGCCGTTATGCTTACAGCGTTTGGCTCGATGGCCAGGGGATAAAGAGCGGTCTGGCGATGGACTGACCAACGAATGTGAGTAGTGTGGCGGATCGTCTGCACAAGGGTGGCTTCAAGACGGCTGCTATCATAATGTGGGACGCAGGAGTGACCACGTTGGATCACACACCAAATTGCCGTGGCTTAGATGTTTTGGTTTCTTTTTTCAATGTTTCCCACATCCAAAGTGGGTATCTTGTTTTCTCTGCACACGCCCCGCGCAGAAGAACAGACCCTTCTCCTCACACACACACACTTATCACAATCGAAATCAGTAGCATCACCGCCACACCATCATTGACATCAGTAGCATCATCACCATCACCTCACACCTTCACGCATCATCATCACAGTCATCATCGTCATCACTCACACACTCGCTCACACCGACATTCACTCACACATAGACCATCTTGATCACCTTGACCATCACTCGATCACACACTCACCCATTCACTCATCATCTGCATCATCCTCATCATCATCACCATCATCACTCATTCATTCATTCTCTCACTCATCCACTCATTCGCTAGCTTGAGCATGGGGGAAGGATCAGGCGAGAGGCCCGTCTGTGAGTGAATTGCTAGAAAGTCTCAGGCGGGAACCCTCTGCCTTTGGGGCCCGCACTTCATGTTTTTAATCCGAGCGGGTCGTCTTCGAACCTATAACTGTCGTCACTTTTGGGCTCCTGAGGCCTGAATCTTGGGAAAGTATCAGGCGGGAGCTTCGTCTGTGAGTGAATGTCGAGGAAGTCTCGGGCGGGAGCCCTCTCCCTTTGGGGCCCGCATTCGCGTTTTAAATCCGAGCGGGTCATCCTCGAACTTGTAGCTGTCATCACTCTTGGGCCCCTGAGGCTTGAGCATGCGGGAAGTATCAGGCGGGAGCGTCGTCTGTCAGTGAAGTGTGAGGAAGGATCAGGCGGGAGCTCCCTCCCTATGGGGCCCGCATTTCATGTTTGTAATCCGAACGGGTCATCTTCGAACCTGTAAGTGTCGTCACCTAGGGGCTCCCTAGGTCTGAATATGGAGGAAATATCAGGCGGGGAGCTGCGTCTGTGAGTGAACTGTGAGGAAGTCTCACGCGGGAGTCCCCTCCCTATGCGCTCTTCAGAAGGCGATTCGCCCGACCCATGGACGACGACGGCGGCCGGGCGCAGGGGGAAACCCTTGCGTCCGGGCCGGCAGTGGTAACCCATCTTCGATCGAAGCGGGGGCAGGGGGAAACCCTTGTCTCCGGGATGGCGGTGGCAACCCATGGTCAGCCGAATCAGGGGCAGGGGGAAACCCTTGTCTTTGGGCTGGTGGTGGTAACCCATCGTCAGCCGAATCGGGCGCAGGGCTTGGTTTCGTGCTGCCTCCCGCCTGGGCGCGGCGGTGACTAGCTCGGTGCCTGCGGGGTTGTCCCAACGGCTTGCTCCCGCGCCCCGGCGGCTCGCGCGGTTGCCCCAACGGCGTGGCCCGGGGGGGTGTCCCAACGGCCGCCCGCCTCCATCCCTTGATTCTACTTTGACAGCTTCTGGACACCATGGCGAGGGAGTCCCACGCCATCACGCAGTGCCAGCGGCCAGAGGCCATCCAGTACATCTTGTTGATCGGAAGAAGCTTGCGGCTACTGCTGGAGGTAATAGGCCTGATGTCCCGGGCTCATGATCTCATGTCGGAGGACCAGATTATGTACTGTCTGCCAGCACTCCAGATTCAGTCAGAATGGCGGGGCCGAGCGGTCATGTATTGTCCCTTGGCGCGTGGCTGACATGAGTATCCGTGGTGAGGATTATGCTAGTTGCGTTGTTGTTGTTGTTGCTGCTGCTGTTGTTGTTGTTGTTGTTGATGATGTTGCTGTTGTTGCTAATGTTGTTGTTGTTTTTAAATGTCCAGGGAAACGGTTCCGTGCGCTCTCGCTTCGACGCCGGCTATCTGTTCTTGGAAAACGAGGCTCCCGCTCGAGCGTTGGCTTGAGCCTTAAAGTGGGCCCTTGACGCCCACGACAACAACGGCTCCTGTTCGATACTTCCTCACCCCGAGACACCTTGGCCTGACACGCCCCCGAACTCAGGAACGGCGCTCCCGCTGGAGACTTCATCGCAATTCAATTAACTTGGCGCAGGCCCGGCCACGACGACAAGGGTTCCTGCTCGATACTTCCTCACGGTTTACTCCGAGAGCCCCTGGCCAAGAAGACCCCCGAACTCAGGAATGGCGCTCTCGTCGGAGATTTTCGCGTAATTCAGGCAAGTTGGTTGAGGCCTGGCCATGGCGACAAGGGTTCCCGTTCGATGTTTGTCCATGGGCATTCCGAGAGCCCCCGGCCAGGGAGACCCTGAAACTCAGGCACGGTGCTCTCTCTCGAGACTTCCTCGCGCTTCAGTCAGTAGCCGACCGACAAGGAAGAGACTCTCCCCGAAAAGGGGTGCAATCGAAAACGGAGCGGGCGGGTATCGAGGGTTGGGGTATACGGACTGCAAGACACGCGGGCAAGTAAGAACGATCAGTCTTAAATTGATTGTTGTTCTTAAATTGGGTTGTTGTTGTTGTTATCGTCGTCGTCGTCGTCGTTGTTGTGGCTGTTGTTGCTGTTGCTGCTGTTGTGATTGTTGTCGTTGTTGTTGCTGTTGCTGTTGCTGTTGCTGTTGCTGTTGGTGTTGTTGTTGTTGCTGTTGTTGTTGTTGTTGTTGTTGAACTCTCACTCTTGAAGAATAATTATTGTTGATCCCCCCCCACCGGTGCACATTTTTTTTTTTCGATTGAAGTGCCACCCCTGGGGCTCGCACCTTGTTTTTTCTCAAGGGAAGTCTTCCTGCTCAAACTGTGCCCCTGCCCCCCGGGCTACAACAACAACGGCTCCCGCCTGAGACTTCCTCGATTTTTACTCAGGACCCCCGCTCCCGCCTGAGACTTCCGCGCAATTTACTCAGGAAAGGCGCTCCCGTCTGAGTCTTCCTCGCAATGTAATCAAGACCCCCGCTCCCGCCTGAGACTTCCGTGCAATTTACGTGGGAACGGCGCTCCCGCCTGAGACTTCTTCGAATTTTACTCAGGACCCCCGCTCCTGCCTTACATTTCCGCGCAATTGACTCAGGAACGGCGCTCCCGCCTGAGACTTCCTCGCAATTTAGTGAGGACCCCCGCTCCCGCCTGAGACTTCCGTGCAATTTGCTCAGGAAAGGCGCTCCCGCTTGAGACTTCCTCGCAACTTAGTCAGGGCCCCCGCTTCCGCCTGAGATTTCCTCACAATGTACTCAGGACTGCGCTCTCGCGTGCGAAGTCCTCACAAATTATTATGGAATTGCGTTTCGGCGCTCAGGAACCACGCACGCGCCAAGGACGCCTTCACAACGTGGTATCTTCCCTCTTCCTTCGTCCTTCCCCCTCCTCTTCCTCCCACTCTCCCTCGTTCTTCCCCTCCTCCTCTTGCAGAGCCCGCGCCAATTCCAATGGCGGGCAGAGAGATGTACGCCCCCGAAGGATTGTCCGCCCGTTCCGGTTTGCCCGTACGTCTAAGCCCGCCGGCCCCAGCAAAGAGAAACAATCCCCCCGAAAGGGGTGTGATCGAAGACGAAGAGCGCGGGCATCGAGGGTGTAGGGTATACGTGTTGAATGACTCGCGGGCAGGTAAGAGCGTACAGCCTTAAACTGGTTGTTGTTGTTGTTGTTGTTGTTGTTGTTGTTGTTATTGTTGTTGTTGTTGGTGTTGTTGTTGCTGCTGCTACTGTTGTTGTTGTTGGTGTTGTTGTTGTTGGTGGTGTTGTTGGTGTTGTTGTGTTGTTGTTGGTAATGGTGTTGCTGTTGTTGTCGTTGATGTTGTTGTTGTTGCTGCTGTTGTTGTTGCTGGTGTTGTTGTTAATACTGTTGTTGTTGTTGTTGAATTTTCCGGTTTGAAGAATAAGTATTGCTGATCCCCTCGCTGGTGCATATTGTTTTTCTCAAGCAGGGTGTGCCCCTCGACGCTCGCACC